GCCAGTGAGCTCATCCAGCTTCTCACAACTAAGCAGCCAGCACTCATACACTGACAGCTCCCCAATTTACAGCTCCAGCTCCAGACTCACCCCTGAACTCCAGGCTCATATGTCTAGCTGTCTGCCTGCATCTCCACCCTGGTGTCTGCACAGCATCTCAGACACAGTGTGCCTTCAAGTCTGGCTCAGTCCATTTACCAGCTGTTTCAGGAGTTCCCCAGCTCAGCAAACAGCAGACCTGTCCTTCCACACCCTCAGCCCAAGCACAGTGGCAACTAATGAGTCCTTTCTTCCCATCCACTCCGTATCCCAACGGCTTCACTTTCCATTTTATTTCTGTTGTTAATCTCGTTGTCCTATGCCCTGTCATCACCTCCTGGGCCCCACCATGATACAGCTGTAGCACTTTGACTAATTCTTTTTCCTCTTTAAGACTCCGGTTCCTCATGTGTGGAATGGGCACATTGGCCCTTCTTTGTAGAACTTCTTCAAGGAAGTGAGGGGGCCACAGCAAATATGGATCCTAAGGCCTTATGAGGGCTTTCCAAGCTACCTCTCTGTGTCTTCACACAGCCCTCTACATGCATACTTTCATGACTCGTGTGTTATAGGTGAGGAAACTGAGACCCAGGGGTAAACAACTGGCTAAAGTCCCTCTCCCCCTGATACTTGCTGCCCCAAGTGATGGACAAAGATCTTTGGGTAGTACCGCATGTGTTTAGAGTGACTTTGGGTTTGCACCCAGGCTCTTTGGGAAAGAGTACCATAATTAATTAGTGCTGTCTGCTCTGGGTACAGAAATGGCAGATTTCTGAATGTGTTCCATTATTTCCCCTTCTTATCCTCAAATCCTTCCTTATGTTGACAGTGGCAGAGGTAACTGTGACAACAAGCAAAGAACCACTGTACTGTGATTGTCTCCCAAAGGCCCACGTGTTGATGCAAAGTTGTAAAACCCTTAAGAGGTAGGGCCTAGCAGGAGAGAGTCAGGTTACCAGGGATACACCCTTGAAGAGGATATTGGGAATTCAAGTGTTTCCTTGCTGTCATGAGGCAAATAGCCTTCCCCTATCACACACTTGTTGCTATGATGTTCTGCCTCATTACAGACCCAAAGCATCATGCCCAGCTGACCCTGGGCTGAAACCTCCGAATCATGAGCCAAATAACCTTGTCTTCCTTCTAAGTTAATAATCTCAGGTAATAAAACACATGGTCCAAATCCTAAATTTACCCTTAGAGCCCTACCTTCTGTTTCTCCATCTCCATCATTAAAGACATGGCTAATACTGACATAGGCAGAGGGATGGTTTCCTGAGTATCTTTTCAGAGCCTGATACCAAGCTCAACTCTACTCGTGGCACCTAAAATCTGAGCAGCAAACTATAAGACTCCACCATGTCCATTTCATGAGCAAACTGAGTGTTTGGGAAGATGAGTAGTTTTCCCTGGCTCACATAGCTGGCAAACATCTGTGCTAGGATGCTTGCATACTCCAACCCAACATTACTCTCACTTCGAGGGGGACCATAGACATGGGGCACCTTGCCAGGTTGTGATTTTGGGCAGGCCTTGGACAGCCATCACGAACTTGACCGTGGTGTACCTACATGACTTCTCCATAGATTGTGTGCTATGTCTCCCCCTCCTTCATTTTGTTTTGCGACATGTTTAGGCTTCAGTACCCCTCCTCAAGAAACCCCTCTTTCAGATCTGTTCCCAGAGGCCATAAGAAAGCACCCTGCCCCCACACAGGCAGCTACATGGTGCTGCCATCTGCTAGATGACAATGAAGAGGCTCTGTGGCATCTGTGCTTAGAGCCTGAGTCCCCAGGGAGTCCTGGGCTGTTCTGCCTAGCAGAGGCCAGATGGAATGGATTCCCCCACCGGCAGCCTTCCTGAGGGATACCAGACGCCCTCCACTCAGAGCTCCAGACAAGGCCTCTGCAGGCTGGGAAAGGCTCACACACATGACTTCAAGCCGAGGAACCCCCTTTCCTCTTCCAGCCACATAGCAGGAAGCGTTCAGGCTTCCCTGATGGGGTTCCCCTGTCCTCCTCTTTCTTGTTCTCGCTGCCTTTCTGCCCATCTTCTCAACCCAATGGGGTTGCCGCTGAGAGGTGTCCCACAAGGAGCAGAGATAAAGCTAAGGTATCTGAAGATGAGATGGGGTTGGGAGGCAATAGACCTACTGCCCAGCCCCTTATGACTGATGTCTGTCCAACTCTCAGAAGGCCAGAGAATCATGCCACATCCCCAGTGTCTGAAGGTGCTGGCATATCTGTTTTCAGGGATGGCATAGCTGCCACCTTGCCCTCTGCTGCAGGAAGTCATGAACTGTCCACTCTGCAAACCTCACAAGCCCTGACTGCTGGATGGGAAACCATTGGGCTTGGTTTTCTTTCTGTGGGTTGCATTTCTAAACCACAGTGGCCAGGGGTGTGGAGATGTGAACAGGAACAAACTGTCTCCTACTCTGAGTTTTCCAGGTTTCATGGCTGCAGCATCTTTGCATAACCTGGCAAGATCATCAGGTGAACTAAAAAAGGTATGGTGGTCTCTGCCAGGTTTCTCACTGCATGGAGCAGCTCCAGACTGGAAAAGAGGTGTCACAAAGAAGGGGCATGTGGCCCCATGTGGCTATTCCTGGGGTTGCTCCTAAGTATTTATTTTCTTTGTTATTTTTAAGTTTTAAAAATTTGAGACAGAATCTCACTGTATAGCCCAGGCTGGCCTTGAGCTAGCGATGATCCTCCCAAGTGCTAGGGTTACAGGTGTGCTCCACATGCCTGGCTCCTGGTTCTTAAGCCCCACCCCCCAATCCCTCCTGAGACCCAGGAAGAAGCTGGGACAGACAGCCTGGGAAATGCTGGCCCAGGGGCTACAGCCAGAAGCAGAGCAAGGATGAGTCTGGCTGTGCCGAACAAGTAGAAGGGCTGGGCTGGACCCTGGGGCTGAGCAACAGGGAAAGGTGCAGTTTCTCCACTGCCAAAGGAGCCATGACAGACAGGGTGGACAACAGAGTGGCGAGAAGAACCTCAAAGGGGTCAGAAGTCAAGAAGGTGAAAGCCATTGACAAAGTCAGATGCAACTGAGCTTTGGAGGACAGGACTCAGCAAATGCAAAAGGGTGTGGCATGGTCCAGGCAAGGAAATGCTGAAGTGAAATAAACTGAGTGTTCAGATAAAGATGGGGCAATTCTCAAGTGACTTTGAAGAAAAGGAAAAAGTTGACTGGATAATGTGAGGCAAAGAGGCTCCCTGGAGCCCCACAGTATTCCAAGCTCTTGGAGGCCTAGGGGCTCAGACACCCCTTCATCTCAGAGGCAGGGCTGTGCGGCTTAGATAGGCTGGGGGAGTTTTGAGACTTGCCACTCCCCATAGCTGCCTGCAGCTTCTCACCCACAGTGCTTGATTATGCAACTATTCATACAACATGCACTTATTAGGCACCTACTGTGTGTCAGGCATTAGGCCTGACATGTGGCAGGTGAGAGAAGTGGACCAGAAACATTCAGGCATTGCTTCCTCGTGGCCTACAGTACCTGTGACCATAACCTTGATTCCTCCGGAGGAGGCAGAGCTGTTTGGAGGTCATGGCTTCTATTAGCACAAAAGGCAGCCACTCTAAAAGGCCTGTCACACTCAGCGTTCCTAGCCTCCTTCTTTCCCAGTCTCTTGTGTCACCAGTAGGGTGGGGGTAAGAACACGGCCATATTAGTCCTCTGCATGGCAGATTATCCTCAGGCCTCCAACAGCAGCTGGCCTGGGACAGGAACTTTCATTTCCAGATTCTGCCCCAGCAGTGGTAACAATAGTGATCTGGATATTCTGGGTTTGTGAAGTCCATCAGAGATAGTCCCACTGACCCCACCTCTCCCCTTGGTGTCCAGCACCTGGCTGAGCTTCACCATGTCTAGATACACTCTTGGCAGATGAGCCCACAGACAGCCTCCATACCCTGCAATGTAAACGGTGAGGACCCTGCCTAGATTCTGGCTGAATCCCACCTGCATGGGACATGCAGGCTCCTCCCCCTCCTTCACTGGCATTTCCTCAATATTTTAGGAGTTAGCCTCTGGGGCTGTGACTATGTGAGAGAGATATGCTCAGCCCAGGACAGCACAGACTCATGGTAGAAACTTAAGCAAACCTTAGTGAGAGCTGAGGTGTAGTCATCCAGTGAGTGTGGACACCAAGGCGTCAGGCAGTCATCTTTTGATGTCACCTCAACACACATTCACAGCTTCTCAACAAGGGATAGGCAGTTAGGCATGCTCCCCAAATTACAAGTGACGCTGGTTTGGGGAGCTCAGGGGTGTAATGAGAGAAAGCATGCTCTGCTGTGGAGCCATGAAGGTTGCCTGAGAGGGTCGAGGCCAAGCTGGAGGATCTACAGAGGCTGTTGTCCTGAGTTCCAAGAGGACACCTGGCTAGTCTACCAATGGACTCCTCACATTGGGAGTCATGGGAAGACTCTTAAAGGCAAAATCATGCATTTTCTTCAGTCACTGGAGGCTTCCTGGTGAGAGCTATGGAATGGGTTTCCTTAGAGCAGTCAGCCCCAAGGAACTGTTCTGTAGGACCCAAATCCATGAAGCATTGTTTGTGGCTATTTAAGAGTAGGAAGAACTTAAGGCTTTTGTCTCCCACAGAAACCACACACCATATCACACCATCACACCAGAGGTCCTAAAAAGGCTGACAGTGGCAAAATGTTTCTAACACATCTCATCCAACACTTCTCACAAGTACTTGGCCATGGTGTTGTGGGTGGGGGGAGACTGCATCACTGTGCTTCAGGGGAACAGGACAAAGTGACTTTCAGTTTCCAGGAGCCCACTGTAGATGTTGGGATGTCCCATGCCGCCTGCCACACCGCCCAGTCTCTCTACACTAACCCTGGTCGGACTCTCCTCAGTGCCTTGGCCAAACATCCCAATGCCATCCCTGTAACCCCACCCTCTAGCTTTGTAGTAGCTGGACAAAGAAGAGACTTACAGGGGCAAGGGCGTTTGAAGGACATGTAATCCTTGGAGCAGAACAGCGGAGCCAGCCTGCCCACGAGCACAGCTCTGACTTCTTGAGGGGATAGCCCCTCCACTCACCTGTGGAGACACAAACAGGCAGGTGATGGGATGCCTATAGCACCTCCCATGTCGACAGGCTGTGCCTTTACATCACTTAGCCCATTACTTGGTGGAGTGAGACTTATAATCATGCTCCTAGGCTGGGGTCCCTGGGCTACAAGGTATGGGTACAGGGGTAGGGTGAGTGGGTGTTGGGGTCACAGTGATGTGTGGAGGGTGGATCTCTCTCTTACGCGGACCCAGGAGTACAGTGTGATGCCGTGGAGTTCTACTGTGGAAGACTCACTGTTCCCACATCCTCCATAGACCGTATGTAGTGCCTTAGGCTGTCAGGGCTGGGCAGATCTTTAAAGACTGGTCCAAAGTGCTCATTGCACAGGGGAAACACCCAGAGGAGAGAGAAGCTTGCTCAAGGCTTCATGGCTGGCTTTGGGAGGGGGTTCCCTGACTCCCAGCTCAAACTAAATTTGATTTTGTTCTGAGAACCAAGAGTGCTCTTTTCCTCCTCATTTTGTACATGAGGAAATTGAGGGTTAGAGAAGTCTTGTAGCTTGGTCAAGACCACACAGCTGCCAACTACAGGCTGAGGTGAGACTCCAGACCTGTTTTTCTCTCATACCCCAGCAGCCAGCACATCCCTTTGGAAGGTACCTAATACATTAGGTCACCAATTTAGAAATAAAAGCCAGTGGGAAGGAAATGCCTCTCCTCTACCCCAACCTATTCTCAGATGAACTCTGTGTGACACCTGGATTTTCAGTGTAGCTTGGCTATGCCAGGTCTCTTTAATACTACTTTATAAGGTGAAATATTTTCAGAGCAATGTTCTCTCATGCCACTAAAGGTTTGAACCCAGTCAATCCCTCCTTGTGTGTCCCCAAAGGACACAGCATAGGCTTTTACATTTTATCAAGTGGCACACTTGATTTCAGAAACTAAAATGCACTTTATAAGAGTTTTATTATTTTATGTGGATTGGCATTTTGCCTGCTCATATGTCTGGGTCCACTTGTATGCCTGCTGCTCTTAGAGGCCAGAAGAGGATTTTGAATCCCCTGGACCTAGCATTTCAGACAGTTGTCAGCTACCATATAGGTGCTGGGAACCAAACATGGCACCTCTAGAAGAGCAGCCAGTGCTATTAACTTCTGAGCCATCTCTCCAGCCCCCTAAAATGCACTCTCCCTGACACTGGAGATTGCATCACATGGCCAGAATTTACCTATGAGAGAGTCAGCCCCAGAGGTTCTTAGCCTCACCTCATTTAGGAGCCCCCTTTACGTGTTTTCTGTTCCACACAGACACAGAGTTTGGACGGAGCCCATTGGTGAGCACATTTCATGAAAACACTGGCTTTTCTGTTTAGTAAGTGAACAAGAGAACTCCCTTGGCATTGCCTTGCTCTTCTCTCTGATCTCATAATACTAAAGTCAATGCAGCCACTTCCTGGCATTGACTCTGGCCAAAGTGCTTCATCTCCTTGAAACTTGCATCCTTCCTGGGAAAGCAGGGATAAGTTTGGAAGTACCCGGTGTGTGTGACAGGCCTCACAGTGCTCACTTTGTTCTCTGTGGGGGCAAGAGGAATGCAGCTGATCTGGGGACACCTCTGTAGGTAGTCTTGCCACTCACCTCTCACATTGTTCAGCTTTCCCAGTGTGAACCCTAGGCTGGCCTGACATTCACTCTTGGTCTCCATAGAAACCAAAGGAGAGTTTTGACCTGGGGAGGGAGGGTAGGAGGTGATCTCCCAGGCTGCTAAGAGAACCAATTACACACCAGACGATTAAAGAAGAATTTTAAGGCCTGTGACCTTTGTTTTCAAAGATAACATGTGAGAACTGATGTCTGTGTTCACATTTGTGGATGTGCAGGGGTTACTATGTCTGTGTGTGTATACACACATGTGTATGTAAAGGAGGGCATATGAGTGAGCTGACAACTCATCCTATTGCTTCAGAAAGATTTGTGTGTCCGTGTGCAGGCCCCATGTGCACATGTGCATGCTTGTACATGTGTGAGGCCGGAGGAAGACATTGGGTGTCCTGCTCTAGCATTCTCTACCTTAATCCCTTTAAACAACACCTCTCACTGAACCTGGAGCCAGCAATCCCCAGAAATCATGTCTATCCCCACCCCCAGCTTTGGGGTTAAGGCATACATGGCCACTGCTGGCTTTTTTTTTTTTTAATGCAGGTGCTGGGATCCTAACTCATGTCCTCACACTTACAGAGAAAGTCTCTTATCCACTGAGCCATTTCTCCAATCCTTGAGAAGTCTCTTTTAGAGACATAAATGGATGTGTCAATCCCTTGCTCAAGCCCCTTCCACAGCCCCCTGACACCTTCAGGAACATGTCCAGTTCCTCACCCAGCATCCACAGCCCTGGGTCCTCCAAACTCTCCAGTGCACTGGGATAATTTAGATGTTTAATAAGTGGATGCTAAAGGTACTTCCTGTGGTGCTGCTCCTGGGGACACCAAATGCCATGGAGACCTTCTCTTGAGGGGCTTTCCTTAGGGTGCTGCTTCACTGAACCTGGAGACTCTGAAGTAAAGGCTGATGATTCTCCGGGCATGGGGGGGATGGGTGTCTCACAGTTCAAGAATCCTTGTATCACATGTTGTTGGAAACTCAGTCAAGTAGACAGTCTTAATGTGGGAGACTGGGGACACTTGGTTCTACACACGTGGTTCACATTAGCAGAACACTTATTAAGTGCCACTTAGAGTCACCTGCCCTACTGGGACAGGACCTTAGGGATGAAGAAAGTCATTTCAGTTTTGCAGATGAGGAAATGGAGGCTCAAGGTGGTTTCCTGCTCAAGGTCACAAAAAAGAGATCAAGGAGGAGCTGTGTGCACAGGGACCCTGCCACATCTGGTATCCTTCAGTTGCTGCCTGTGGCATCCATGGAGATCTGCTGCCCTTGGTGTTCTAGTTAGCCCACGATCAGACTACTGTGGGTTTCTTGGACTTCAGGGCTGTTTTCTCTTCCTAGCATGTTGTTCCTGGCCTGTCTATTTGGAGAACTCCTATGGTGCCATCAAGTCCCAGCTTTCAAGATCTCTTCATAAAGCTTCCTTGACTACTGGTGACAGATCAGTAACAAGGGAGCATTTCCCCAGCATGTGGACATCCTTCAAGTCGACGCTAAATGATCCTAGACACAGAGCATCTTGGGAGCATGGAAGAGCATCATGGTCTATGCACACTAGCTTGGAGCTCAATTTAGAGGACATTTTCAAAAGTACCTGGAATATTGGCGTAAGCCAACCTTAGCCTGATACTACGGTATCAGGTATGGTATTATGCAGAGACAGCCTTCAAGTAATACTCCATGTGCCAAAAGGCAGGATTTTTCTTTACAGAGTTGTTAATCTCCACATACCCTGTTGCCTATTGTGACAATGATGTTTGTCACAGCCAGGGTCACCATTCCCTGCACTGTGAACCACAGCTAACACTTTACACAGAGCCTCTGGCTGTACTTCTCCAGCATGCTCCCCATCCAGGACTTCAAGGGGTCCCCTTAGATGCTTGGCAACATAAAAAACAGCTTTTCTTATCTTTTGAAATTTTCTAGTTTCTGTTTTTACTTTTTAAGACCAGGTCTCATATGTAGCCCATGCTGGCTTTGAACTCAAGACCCTCCTGCTCCAGCCTGTTGAACACTGGGTTACAGATGTGTGCCACCACACCTAGGGCCCCATGCATGATAGGCAAGCACTCTATTCCTGATCCCTACCCCTAGCCTGCAAGAAAGGTTCTTTGGACTCTAAAGAAGCAGCAAAATGTTCAACCTCCCAGTCTATTTTCTCCTTCCTCTGCCCACTAGAGGGTCTCCAAGTGACTCACAGGAAAACCAATGCCTGGTGCATCGGACACTTTGTTTGGGAAAAACTCTGTTGTGGTCCCCAAGGAGAAAAGGGCTGGATGTATGGTGTCCATGTGAACAAGTACCCATCCAGGTCCCTGCAAAGCCATGATACAGTGCTGAGAACATCTGGACATGCCTGGCTCAGGTGTGCTGAGACCATGATTTTCCATCTGTAGGGAGTACACCCTTCCTGTCCTGGTGAGTGTGGGCCCATTCAAAGTCACCATTACCCTGCCCGCCTCTCCCTGAGCCCAGCAGCAGAGACTCAGCTTTTTCCTGCTGTGACTCATCTCTGACTGGATTGTCTGGCTGGGAATGCAAGAGAGGGTGGGCAGGCAGCGCAGCAGGCTTTGAAGTGGCTGAATGGTGCCTGGCTAGACCACATCATTTGTACCCCTCCTTTACGTTCCTGCTCCCGGAATACCTCCTCTCTGGTCTCGTGGGACAGCCAGACCTGGATGGAGGAGGGTATGGAATCTACTGGAGGGAATAGTTCCAGGGGAGACTCAGTACCAAGACTAGAGCTGGATCCACAAGCCAGCTGCCTCATGTAAGAGGACAACAGCAATCAGGGAAGGGCTTTGGGAATGGGCTGGAGCTCTAGCCACGTCATGGAGGCCATGTGACACACCTGACCACTGCTGTCCCATGCCGTCAGCTTACCAAGTCCTCAATATGAACCTCAACTTAACAGTTCTGAGATACGAAATCAGAAAGGGGCCTGGCAGGGGGTGAGCCACCCTGCCCAAAGAGGGCTCCTAGGAAGATTCATAGCCGGGTAGCCACAGGGTCAGCTTTTGTCGTTTGTGGAAGACCTCTCTGGGTTTAGGGTGACCCTGAACAACAGGCTGTGGGTGAGAGGCCTCTCACTGGTTCCTTGTGTACCAGTTCTTGGGAGTTGCAGATGGAGCCAGTCTTTGACTGTCGGTGTTCACACACACCTCTCCCACTAAAGGTGGAACTACAATGGTAATGGTCATGCATGTTAGATGACAGGGGAGACAGAGCATGTTAGATGACATGCATGTTAGATGACAGGGATGACAGGTGTGCAGGTGGGGCACTGTACATTTAGATAAAGCAGCTGTAGTGGGCCTTGGTAGGAGGGTGGTAGGTGAGCAGAGATAAGAGAAAGTCA